TTGTTGTTTATTATTTTTTGCTAAAATGTGAAACATGACACAGAAAATTGCATAAATAATAAAATGTACAAAATACAATATAATTGATCATTATAAAGTGAACGCCTTACTCACTGTCCAGGTACAGACCAGAACTTGTCAGTGACTCAAAAGTGCTTATTATAGCCCTGATACACCTTTTTGAACCAATCTATAACAATTTTGTCCATTACTTCTTAGGATTTTATCAATTATATGTGCATTCCCAAATAATATATTTCGGTCTGGCCTGCTTTCCTGCTTTTTATGAATGCAATCATATTTTATGTAATTTTTGTGTCTTCTTCTGTTCAATAAAATGTTGACTTGATTTATTCATTTTGTTTCCAGTTGTTAGCTAGATATTGTTTGAAGATATAACAATGTTCTACCATTGAGACATGTCTGGGTTACAGTTTTTCTATTACAAAATACATTTAAAAAATTTTAAACATATACACGTTTGCACATCTACATAAAATCTCCTTGGGGTATGTTCTAGAGCTGAATCCTGAGTCATAGGGTATGTGCATGTGGTATGGGCTTCGTGGTATGTGCATCTTCAGTCTTTCTAGATAAGGTTAAACATTTCAAAGTAGCTGTAACATTAACCAACAGGTTATGAGTGTTCTGCACATCACAGTTTTTAACTTGATAAACTCTACTGCTGTGTGGTGATATCTCATTGGAATATTAATTTTCACTTTTTAATTCAAATTCAATTGAGCACCTTTTCCTGTTTGCTTGTTATTTTGTTTTCATATAAAATTGCTATAAATATCTTTTTTTCTATTGTGTCATCTCTGCTATACATTTTAACTTCTATTTTCTTATATGTATTTTGGATTTGAGTTTTTTGTTTAAATATTTTGCAACTGTATATTATGTGGTTGGTTTTTAACACTTTGAATGGTATTTTTCACAAAAGATGTACTTATCTTTGATGTAGTCAAACAACACATTTTTATTTTATGGAGATGGTGGTAGGTATTTGTGTGTGTCTGTGGGTGTTCTGTAAGAATTTTTTTTTTATCCTCACCTGAGGAAACTTTTTAATTTTTTTTTTTTTTTTTTATCCTCACCCGAGGATATTTTTCCATTTTTTGTACAGATAGAGCGGGAGGGAGAGAGAGGAAGGGAGAGAGAGAGAGAAACATCGATGTGAAGGGACACATCGAGTGGCTGCCACCCGCACGACCAACCAGGGCCGGGGACAAACTGCAACCGAGGTACGCGCCCTTAGCGGGAACCGAACCCGGGTCTCTCCGGACCGCAAGCCGACGCTCTAACCGCTGAGCCAAACTGGCCAGGGCTCACCTGAGGAAACTTTTTGATATTTTGTTCAGATAGAGTGGGAGGGGGGGGGAGAGAGAGAGAGAAACATTGATGCGAAAGGGACACATCGAGTGGTTGCCACCCGCACAACCCAACCAGGGCCGGGGACAAACTGCAACTGAGATACGTGCCCTTAGCAGGAACCGAACCCAGGTCTCTCCGGACCGCAGGCCGATGCTCTAACTGCTGAGCCAAACTGGCCAGGGCTATTCTGTAAGGATTTTTAAAAAATCCAAATCATGGAGTTATTTATATATGTTAGATTATTTCCTCCTCATTCTTATGATTAAATTGTATTGAGAAAATTGGTAACTACCTCCAAAAATAGACTTTGAACCTATATTTCACACTTCATGAAAAAAATCAATTCTCAGTGAATTATAGATCTAAATGGGAAAGGAAAAATAATAAATATTTTAGAAAATAGCATAAGTAAATAAGACAATGACCTTGGATGAGAAAAAAAAATGTTGGAAAATACACACACACACATCACCACCACCACCACCACAACCACCACCATCATTTACTAATAATGACAGTTCTATTTCATTCTTTCAAATGTTTGTACTTTCCCCCCTCATTTTGCATGCACACTGCAATGGACAGACCATTCAGAATATGAAGAAAAGAAGTACTAAAAGATGGCATTCAAGTCTGCTTCTTAATTACAAAAGTATAATTTAACCTATGTTTGCTATAATATTTTAGGTACATTTTTATTAGATTATTCTTATAGATTAATTCTATTTTCTTCCCAGTTTGATAGGTTTTATAAAATTACATAAAAATGGATGCTAAGATTTCATCTAAGATGATCATATAATTTACTTACCTTATGTCACATCATTTAATATGAGTGATTATTTAAGTTTAATCAAAGTAAACTTCTGAGGATAAACCAAACTATGATGTCTTATCCTTTTTTGCCACATATTATTTAACACTTGATTTATAATTTTTGCCTCAGTGCTTATAAGTGATATAAGCTCCTTAATTTCTTGTATATCTTTTGGTTATATTTTGGTGTAAAAAATTTTTTTATATCAAGTAATGAGTTGGGTAATATAGTCTACTTTTTAAGTCTGGAAGTATTTGTATAAAACTAATATTATTTTTACTCAATTATTTGTAGAAATCACAATAGAAACATCTAGGTCTCGAGATATGACAGAATTTTCAGCTTTAAATGTTGTATGATTCTATTTAAAAAGATGATCCCATGGCTGCCCAGGTAGAGATTAAATCTTTCTAGGTGCTCTTGCATCCAGATGTGGCCATGTGCACATGGAGTATGAGCAGAATTATAAATATGTTATTTGTAGGTCTGGATCAGAGAATTTTGAGCTTGTTTGTCACCAGTTACTCTTTTTCATTTATTGTCTGGATATCAAATGTGACAACACTCAACCTTTGACCTTACAGATGTGTGCAATGCCTTAGTGGATGTAGAATAACAGAACAGAAGGAACCCGAATCCCTGAATGACTCTGTGGATCCTAGAGTGGTTGGACTGTAATGTGCCTTCTAAGTTGTAGCACCAGCCTCTTAAGTAATCTTGATCTCCAGTGTCCTCAATTTATTCACTATCTCCTCTGGCCATCAGAGAAATGGATTTCAAACATGTCTCTGAGCCTGTCTAGTAACCATCAACGTCTCTACCTGCCTGTGCAACATTGTCCATGATCCAGGTCCCAATCGATCTTTGTACTTTATTCTCAGTAGGCCTGCTGCAGTGGTTACAGTGGACCTGGCTGATTTCTAGCATCTAGCCCCTACTTTGTATATTGGCTCATTCCCTTCCTTTGCCTTAAAATATCTTTCCTTTAGTCACTCTTTATAAAAAAGTGAGTCATTCTTTAAGACCCAACAGAAATAGATTTTTCTGTGAAGCCATCTATAAATCTTCACAACTTTTTCTAATATAATGAACTGTTGCTTTTGTGGACACAAGCACTTTTTTCTGTAACATCATTTTCTTTAGTAATCACTTCTTGCTTTATTTAATATTTGCCTCTTTCAGCATAGATTATCCGAAGGTGATACCCTAACTTTGTTCATCTTTAAATATGCAAAGACAATGGGCCTCACAATTATATTTCTTATACCAGTGAAATGTACGACAATGTGTCGCAGGAAAACCTTAGCATTGCTCAAATTAAAAACACCAAATACAGGCAAGTTATAAAGACTGACAAATTATTACTACACAATAAGATCACATTACAACTCTAATAGTATGAAGTCTAGAATATAAACTTATATTAAAGGACAAATACACCATAAGAATATGATTGTATTATTACATCACATATTAAATGAGAAAATTTCAATTTTCAAATTTTATTTTATGATATTGTATTCAATGTAACAGCTTTCTTGGAACAAGTTGGGTCTATAAAAAATGAATCTAACTTCTAGCTATTGCTACTTTGTTTTAGGATGTTGTCAAAAAGCCAATTTCAACAAACATATTAGTGAAATGAACGCTTTAATGTCTTTTAAACCAATTTAAAATATTCTAGGCAGAGGAAAATAGGCAATGAAATGAACTCAAAATTGTTCCAGTAACACAACTACCTACATCCATCCAGAAGGCAATAAGTGTAACAAATGACTAAGGTGGGCAGGATGGGGAGGAGGGTGTCAATGGGGGAAAAAGAAGAACCATCTGTACCAAAAATAAATAATTTAATTAAAAAATAAATAAAAATAAAAATACAAATGTGTTGATGGTTATGATGTCTTTGTTCATTTTGAATGCTCACTTTTGAGTTTGTATTTATATCTTATTTTATTTTATTTAAAGAAATATTCAAAATGTAAACTCAGGACTCTTATAATCCCCCACATAGCCACCCCTAAAAATGTAAGTGGAAGAATATGCTACAAAATACTAGTGATTATCTCTTGACCAGAAAAATAGAAGTTTTACGCACAGTTACTGATAATGAAGAAGCATAAGTTAAGAAGAGTAATAAATAAATAAATAAATAAATAAAATACCAGGAATGAAAAGGGAGTCTAAGCATAAAATTAAACAAACAAACAAACAAACAAACAAACAGCTCTGGCTGATTTGGCTCAGCTGATTAGGCCTGCGGTCCCGAGACACCCGGGTTCGGTTCCCGCTAAGGGCACATACGTTGCAGTTTGTCCCCGGCCCTGGTTGGTCGTGCGGGTGGCAGCCACTCGATGTGTCCCTTTCATGTCGATGTTTCTCTCTCACTCTCTGTTCTTCTCTCTCTCTCCCACTCTACCTGAATAAAAAATGGGGGAAAATGTCCTCGGGTGAAGATAAAAAACAAAACAAAACAAAAAACAAACAAAACCCAGCAAAAACCCTAAAACCAGCAAAAACCCTTATTACCCCTGAGAGACAGACTGCAGACCTAGGTCAGCCTGCTGTTACTGGCTCACAGTCAGCCTGCTGCTCTGTGTTCACTGTGGGGTCAGGGGACACAAGCCCGCTGAGGAGAAGGGTCCAGCCTGGGATTGCGAAACTGGGCTGGAAGAAACACGACTCTCTCCCTTCCCTGGCCCGTTTCATCCCTTTAAGTGGAGAGGAAAGGAATGAAAGACCAACAGTTAACTTCCTAGAAAAGGCTGTGTCCTTTCGGTTTCGTTTCTTCCCAACCCCACTCAGCACTGCTTGCCGGTAACATCCCCTTTCAGCTTCTATAAAGAACAGTGTGGAGCGCAAGAGGAGCGCGAGAGAAGCCAGCGAGGGCTGCTGAGAACTTGTCGCCTGTCTGCAGCGGCGGAGACACGTAAGTTCGCTCATAGCCTCGGACTTCCCTGCACACGTTCCTTAACTACCATCACCAATAACAGCGCGGGCTCCAGCGCGCATCCCTCACGGAGGCCCCCCAGGCTCGGCACTGGCAGCGCAGGAGGCAGCTGGCAGCTGGTGGGGCCCGAGGAGGTGCGGCCCGCGGGGCTCAGTGCTGGAAGCTCAGTGTCTCTGGATCCCAGACTGCTGCAAGGCGACAGCGGGCACGCCTTGTCCCTGGGCTGCTCCCTCTTGGGTACCCACAAAGAGCCCTACGTGGGAGAAGGAGGAGTACATCCTACATCACTTCCTTGAAGGGGCTGAAGTCCTTTCTGGGACCGGGGATCCGAACCTGGGCTCCCACAGAAGCGCTGGTGGAGTGGCTTCCTCCATCTCCCTCCTCCCACCTCAGGCATTCCCCCTTTGGACACTGGTAATGTTGGAGACCAAGGAGACAGACCAGATTCAGACTCCGAACTGGGTTCAAATTAAGAGAGCTTTATGAGCCATGCGGTGACTGTCCCATCCTACACAGAGGAGGGAGCAGCCCTGAGCTCAGGGGGAGGGTTGCTTATATAGTTGTCTTAGCCCCTGTTAAGGAATTTGGATTAAGGGTATGGGAGCAAGCAAGCATGTACAGAAGCAGTGTTTGCAGTTAGCTGTTATGCCTGAGGGAACAATCAGTTTCTGTGTACAAAAAGCAAAGGTTAGCTATACAATGCAGTGGTTATCTATTAGCAGATAGTTCTTGCCATTCCCTTAAAATCCAGGGGGCAAGGTCATGTGTTTGTCCTTTACAGTAACACTGAGAAAAGATGACCCTCAATGTACAATTTAAACGTTAAAGCATCATGTTGTTGTATTACTCGTATTTAGTAATTGCAGAGTCTAGAAAGCGGTATTTAGATGAAATGATTTATTCTCACATATTTCACTCAACTGTTAAAAATAACTATAAAGTCTAAGCCAGGTTTTTATCCTGCAGTTTCCAAATGTGTGGTCCCTACCAAACAAATAATATCAATTGTTTTTGGTTCTGGGTTCAGTTGTTTTGCTATTTCCTCATAAAAATGAGAAAAATTCCTTAGCTTTTTTTCAAACTTCTATAAACTTGCAACAGAAAAGCGGGAGGAGGAAGGGGAGCAAGGAGGAGTGGAAACAACTGGGAGCTTGTTCTTGGACTCAGGGACCCGCGGAGCTGTCCGGCAGAAATGCTAACTCAACTTTCTTTTGCATGCAACCTGGTCTTGAGCTTAAACCTCTCAATTTGGACTCTGAGGAATAGAGAGGCGAGGGCCCCTGTAGCCCTGTAGGCTGGACTGCAGGGGTCCATTGCTGCCTTTAGTTCTCAGAAAGCTCAGCTTCTCCATTGGGAACAGTGGTCGCTGTGAGGTGACAGCCTCGCAACATGTCACATGACCAAGATAGCAGCAAGTGGGGTGGGGACAAGATGGGTACATGCAGAGATGACAGTTTAGGGTGTGCTCCTGGCTGTGTAATGGGATGGGATGGGGCCCTGGAGGCAGTTTCTTCATCCATGAGATCAATCTTCCTCATTATATTGTCCATTAGGATGGACTTATGATTCTCAATTCTGATTCCACATTAAATTTACCTCCACACAATGAAAAAAATTAATTTTAAATTTAATTTTTTTAAATCAAGAGCAGACTTGGCTCAGAGAGCTCTGGCTTGCCTTTATTTATTGCATAAAAAATAAATAAAAAAGAAAGAAAGAAAAGAAAGAAAGAAAGAAGAAAGAAAGAGAGAGAGAGAGAGAGAGAGAGAGAGAGAGAGAGAGAGAGGAAGAGAGGGAAGGAGGGAGGGAGAGAAAGAAAGAAAAGTGAAGCCAGACACAAATTGGCTGCATAAAGATTATGGCCTCACCTTTAGCTCCCAGTTTTATCCTTAAAAGTTGGGAATGAACATGCTGTCTCCTGGACTAGCCTATAAATCACTGCTCAGGTCCAAACTTTCTTAGGACACCTCCTGGTTCAGCTTCATTCTTGGTATGTTCTGAAAATTGGGAAGTACCAGCACAGCATTCCCTGGAATATGAGTAGTGCTTTCTACTTCCTAACAAAGTCCTGTGTCAGACATGTCCAGGAATTATGCAGAATCACTTGACATTTTCATATATATATATATATATATATATATATATATATATAAAATCTCCTGAACCCGGGTCTCTCTGGACCACAGGCTGACACTCTAACTGCTGAGCCAAACCAGCCAGGACTCACATCGATATTTTTAACAGTACATGGAGGGTGCAGAAATTGGGAGATCTTCTTATTATTTATTTTGACTATTTTATTAATATATACCTTTCACTGGCTTATTACACACATCTATTTTTAAATTTTGATGCATACTTAATTTTGAGAAACTAAATATCTTGTGATGTAGTTTCTCTGAACAAGGGATGATTGTTAAATTTTGTGGCCAGAAGGATTTTGAATACTCTAACAAAGGAGAAAAATTAAAAGCTGTTTCCCTTCTGGAACCCCAAACTCCTTCAGCCCCTTCAACACCATAAATGGTGCCATAGAGGCTACATTCCATTGGTCTGTCATATGTCAAACCAAATTGTCAATTTAAAAACTTTGATATTTAAAATTTTTTTTTTTCTTTATTGCCCCCTGTCCTACTCCTCCTGGGTTCCTACCTTGCCCTGGGCCTTGATCACCCTATAGTCTGTGTCCCTGGGCAACACATGCATATAAGTTCCTTGGTTAATCTCTTCCCACTTCCCCTCCCCTTGCCTCTGAGATTCATCAGTCTGTTCCATGTTTCCATGCCTCTTGTCGTATTTTATTCATCGGATTACTTAGTTCATTAGATTCCACATATAAATGAGATCATGTGATAGTTGTCTTTCTCTGACTGGCTTATTTCACTTAGCACAGTACTGTCCGGGTCCCTCCAGGCTGTCTCAAGGGGTAAGAGATCTTTCTATTTTTAGAGCTGCATAGTATTCTAATGTGTAAATGTGCCACGTCTTTCTATGTAAAACTTTTTTCTTCTTTATTTATTTTAGAGAGAAATAAAGGGAGAGGAAGAGAGAAATAGAAACATCCATGAGAGAACATCAATTGGTCTCATCCTGCATGCCCCCCCCCCCACTCGGCATTTGGCCCACAACCTGGGCATGTGCCCTGAGAATCAAACTGGCAACCTCTTGGTATATGGGTTGATGTTCAACCACTGAGCCAAGCCAGCCAGACATACCACAGCTTTTTTATCCACTCATCTACTGTTGGGCGCATGGGCTGTTTACAGATCTTTGCTATTGTGAATTGCACTGCTATGAACATAGGGGTGCAAATATTCTTTCTGAATTTTGGGATTCTTAGGATATATTCATAGATGTGAGATCACTGGGTCGAATGGCACAAAAAATCAGATTTTGATGAATACTAGTCATATTCATCACTAGTTCAATAGCTGTTCTCAACAACAGGGACCACAAGACAGAAGAGATGCATGAAATCTGTGGTTTAACAATTAATTTATGACTGTGTCTCCAGGTCATCCTGGTCCCAGGTCCTTCCTCAGCATCAGCCTCACTGTCCCCTTAGCAGCTGGTTAAGTGTTAGGTTTGGGGAGATGTTCACATGAGGTGATAGAATTGCTTCTCAGTGATGACCCTTGCCTTGATTAGAGCCACTCTGCTAAATTATAAGATGTGGTGGCCTAGTGCTGGCAATGACATTTGATCTCAGATCCTTACAGCACTGGCAACACTGGCCCTCTCTGGCACAGTAAGAATGGGATAAGATTCTGTGACAGAACCTTAGCCCATTCCTACTGTGCCAGAAACAAAGCAGAACACTCACACTGTCCTAAGATGATGGGTATTTTGTATAACTCTGTATCAGAGACTAACACTCAAATCTTATTTCTACTGGGATGTTCTAGGTTAGCAGGTTGCCATGGCATCTAGACCCAACATGATGGCCCCCATTTGTCTGGTGGGAAACAGCAATGGGCAGCTGTCAGTGAATCAGGAAGCTCTACAGATTCTTGACCAGATTTCTCAGCCTGTGGTGGTCGTGGCCATTGTAGGAATGTATCGTACAGGCAAATCCTACTTGATGAATCAACTTGCAGGACAGAACCATGGTGAGTGTTGTCTCAGGCAGGGGCCATTTTTTTTACTCTAACATATCACAGCTTATTAGTTTTCTTCCCTGGTTACATGAAGAGAGAACTAAACTCCGCTCAATAAACCAACCTTGTAATTCTAATTCTCACTAATAAATTAGTACCTTAATATAGTTTGTTATCATTTTCATTGTTTTACTACTGTTAAGGAAAATCTCTCTTCCTACTGCGCAGATGCCTACCTCATTTTACCGGCGCAAGCACTGGGATCTTGGAATTAGGTCTCCTCTCTCATAATGTGTTTTGCTTTTTCTAATATTTGCATCAACGTATAAAGATGTTTAAATATCTATCATCAGGTTTAAAAAATTTTGTGAATTTCTATCTTATTGTGCCTACTAACCTCCCCCATTCTCTGCCATTTTTTAAACTCACTTTGCCTGGAAAAATATTATCTTAACTTTTTCTTTACATGTCTCTCTTCTATCCACTTCTATCCAGCTTGGGCTTGACCATTCTTTAAAATGCGCTTGTTATGGTATTCAGTGACATTCATTATGTCTGGTTCACGGATGCCTTCACCTTCGTTTTGGGCCCATGCTGGGTATCAATCTCACAGTTAACATCAATCTCCTTCTTGAAATAGATGACACACAACGTAAAGGTTTCTTCCAAAATAGACAAAGCACCATCTTATATTCTGCGGTACTTACATTCCAATAAGTCTGACTTTGTAGCCCCTTGGCTGCTTCGATGGTCTGTTGTCACTGTGTTAAGTCTCCCCTCCCATTACAGGTTTCCCTCTGGGCTCTACAGTGCAGTCTGAAACCAAGGGCATCTGGATGTGGTGTGTGCCTCACCCCTTAAACACTGATCACACTCTGGTCCTTCTGGACACCGAAGGTCTGGGCGATGTGGAAAAGGTAAGGAGACTCACAGATAAATTGTTTTTAATCTGGATATTTTCATAATGAACTCTTTAATGTAACTGCTTGGTTTATTTGTGAAATCTTAAAATCCAACTATATAACAGGCAGATTTTTGTTTGTTTGTATCTTACTTCTAGGTAAGGTGTCCTGGTCTATTGAGTAGTTTTTTCTATTTTTTTATTTCTTGGCAACTGGGTGAATATTTGATACAATGTAATAAATAATTTCTGCGCTCCATATTCCCAGGTCTCTAAATTAGTTCTGTAGATACTAGTGACCAATATAAAAGTCCTGCCCTCAATGAGTCTGCAGTCCTATGGTGAAGTTCATCAAGTACTCACAGAGCGATCTGGAAGACGCTGAGACGTCTCTGAATGCACGGATTCTATAAAAACACCTGTTTGTCCAACAACAACATTTTAAGATGGGTTTTTGATATTTTAGTTTTCTATTAGTGATATTTTAGTTTTCTATTAGTGGATAAAATGAATGATGTCTACTTTTCTTCTTTAGTTTGAGACTTATTTGGAAAGTGCTACAACTCTATATTTCCACCCAAAGATGAGTTAGAATGTTTGTGTTTGTTTTTGTATATTAAACAGTGCAGCAGTCTTGCTGTCTAAATAACATATTGTATGTCATAGTGCCACTTTTTACTGTAATTATTTTTTTTTAAATTGGGATTTGGGAACATAAATGGGAGAATCAGCATTTTCCTCCAAAAGTTTATTATTAAGATTTCTAGAAATTTTTTACTTTAGCTGTTAGGGAACAACTTCAGACACTGTTTATAAAAGAAAAGAATCTGTATTATGTCATATTTAGACCCTGCTGTATGTTATACAAACACATTAATCCAGCCTTTAAGGTCTTTCATCTGGTTGCACTAGGCTCACTGTCCTGCCTAACTTCTTGGCCTACTCTCTGTTGCAACCAGATCAAACAACTCTACTTTTATTGAAAAGACCCTTGTATTCTACCATGTCTGCTTTTGCTTCTGTGGGTCTTTCTACCTGCAGGATAACCTTCATTTCTTCAAGTTTACATTCTACCAAGTCTTTAATTTTCAGTAAAGATGTTGAGGAAGACTTCATTTTATAAACAATTTTCTAACTTTCAGAGCTCTGGTCTTCTATGATGGACCTTGCACATTTTAATTTAATATCATAGCTATAGGTATCAATGTTTATATACATTATTAAGATGTAAGCCTCTTATAGATATTTTTATCTTTTTTGCATTCATTGCTATAGATTTTTGTGATGGCTTTGAAATAGCCATCTTGAAAGTAATATCTGTCATTTTAAACTGCTTTCTATATTTAACAACAGTGGAAATTGTCAGTAGCTTCCCATAAATATTTCCTAAAAATATCCCCAGTTATGTTAACTATGGTATTTTTATATAGCTCACGACCAACAAATATGTGTAGAATGAACATGTGCTAACATCCTTCATTGAACTTAACTGTACACCAGGTATGGCACTAAGTTTTTCTGTATTTTATTTTATTTCATCCAACTGAATAAAAGGAAAGCCCTGTGATAACAGAATCCTTTATATACAAAAAAATTGCCGTCACAAGAAATATCTTTGTAATTGTCAAAGCACATATGTATATTTACTCCCATCTTCAATTGTACTCTTTGCATGGTGAGTACATTAGCTGAAATAAAAAGGAAAGACTGATAGACTTAGTGTCTGAATGAATTTCTACAGAGTAAACTCCTAAACATCTTGCCCTAATGTGCTTCCTAGGGCGACCCTAAGAATGACTCGTGGATCTTTGCCCTGGCCGTGCTCCTGAGCAGCATGTTTGTCTACAACAGCATGGGCACCATCAACCACCAGGCCCTGGAGCAGCTGCAGTATCCTTCCAGGAGCTGAACCACCAGGGGTCATGGGGTCTGTGGGAATGGAGATTCAGTCAGTTTCTCCTTCTCTCCCACTTAGTTGTCTTTGCTAGACTAAAAGAAACCAGAGCAAAAGAGAGTATTTATAATACTTTTTCTATTATAAAAATGTTGGAACTGTGGTTAGGAAATGCCTTTTCCTTAACAAAGTCCTAGGTATGTGACAGAGCTGACAGAACTCATCAGGGCCAAGTCCTCCCCTCCACCAGATGGAGTAGACGATTCCTCAGAGTTTGTGAGCTTCTTTCCAGACTTTATCTGGGCTGTACGGGATTTCACCCTGGAGCTGAAGTTAAATGATCACTCCATCACAGAAGATGAATACCTGGATAATGCCTTGAAACTAATTCCAGGTACCAGAGCATGGTGGGCAGTGATGTTACAATACAGGGTGGGAGGTACTAACCATCATCTCTGGAGTTGCATTTGCACTTTAGACTACATGAAGACTGTAGAAATGGTGGCTGGGAGATGGGTTGATAGCCCTATGAACTGGAGTTTACTTTGCTTAAGAAAACTAGCCTGCTTGGTGTGGCTCAGTTCATTGAGTGTTGTACCATGGTCTGAGAGGTTCTTGGTATGGGCTCGATCCCCAGTAGAAGGAGTGCAGGAGGCAACCAATGGATGTTTCACTCTCACATTGATGTTTCTATCTCTCTTTTCTTCTCTCCTTAAAAAGAAAACAAAAACAAAAAAAACCAAAACAAAACAGGAATAAAAGAAACTAGACCCTGAAGTAGAGTAAAATTACTCACATCCAATTGTAACTTAGAACGTAGTAGTGCTAAAGCCTTCTAAAGACCAAACATTGATGTTTATTATTTTAGCTTCTGCTAATCAGTGTTGAGTGAAACAATTGATCAAATATTTGTTATGCATAAAATTACAATGAAAGGCCTCTCTAATGAAAAAAATGTCTTTCACATAATTAATTAGACATTATTCTTCTAAAATAGGCATATAACTTTCTTATGTCTTTATACATATGTTTTCTATAAAATGACTATGCTGTAATAAACCCGAAGTGTATTTTGTTTTTTCAATACGCACTTGTGATATTTTTGAAAATTATCAAAATACATATTTTAATTTTTATATCATTGTTATTTTCTTTTTAAAATAATTTTATTTTTCAATTATAGTTTTCATTCAATATTATTTTGTATTATTTTCAAGCATAATCGTTAGGTATCACTTACTTCACACAGTGATCCACCCTATATTTCAAGTACCCACCTGGCACCATACATAGTTGCTACAATATTATTAACTATATTCCCTATGCTGTACTTTACATCCCTGTGACTATTTTGAAACTGCCAATGTGTGTTTGCTATTTCCTTCGCCTTTTTCACCCAGTCCTCCAAGACCTTTCTCCTCCTGCAGCCATGTTTGTTCTCTGTATCTGTTAGTCTGTTTCAATTTTGTTTTTTAGATTCCACATATAAGTGAAACCTTATGATATTTGTCTTTCTCTGTCTAACTTATTTCACTGAGAATAGCACCCTCTAGTTCCGTCCATGCTGTAGCAAATTGTAAGATTTCATTCCATTTTATGGCCAAGTAATATTCCATTGTATATTTGTACCACATTTTCTTTATGTACTTGTCCATTGTTGGACACTTGGGTTACTTCTATATCTTGGCTATTGTAAACAATGTTGCAATGAACATACGGGGCATATATTCTTTCATATTAGCATTTTGGATGTCTTCAGATATATATTGAGAAGTGAAGTCACTGGGTCATAAGGTAGTTCCATTTTTAATTTTTTGTGGAACCTCCACTATTTTCCATAGTAGATGTACAAATCTGCATTCCTACCAACAGTAATGGTTCCCTTTTCTTCACATCCTCACCAACACTGGTGTTTGTTGATTTATTGAAGGGAGCCATTCAGACAGGTAAGAGGTGATATCTCATTGTGGTTTTAAGTTGCAATCATCTGATGGTTAGTGATGTTGAGCAATCATTCATACGTGTCTTGGCCATCTATAGAATGGCCATCTGCAGTCCTCTTTGGAGAAGTTTCTGTTCAGGTCCTCTGCTCACTTTTTAATCAGATTGTTTGTTTCTTTGTTGAGTAATATAAGTTCTTTATAAAATTTGGATATTAACCCCTTATCAGATGTGTCATTGGAGAATACGTTCTCCATTCACGAGGTTGTCTTTTTGTGTTGTTGATGGTTTCCTTTGCTGTGCAAAAACTTTTTAGTTTGATGTAGTCACATTAGCTTATTATTGTTTTTTTTTTTGTTTCTCTTGCCAGAGAATTTATTTTTATATATATATAACGAAGTGCTATGAGATATGTCTGAGATTTTACTGCCTATGTTTTCTTCTAGGAGTTATATGGTTTTGAGTCTTACATTTCAGTCTTTAATCCACTTTGAGTTTATTTTTCTATATGGTGTAAGAAGGGGGTATAGTTTGATTTTTTGCATGTATTTGTCCAATATTCCTAATACCATTTATTGAATAGACTGTCTTTACCTAGTTGTATGTGTTTTGTCACCATTGCCATATATTAATTGATCATAATTATAAATGTTTATATTTGGGCTCTCTGTTGTGTTCCATTGATCTATATGTCTGTTTTTATTCCAGCACCATGCTGTTTTGATTATCACAGCATTGTAATATAGTTTGATATCAGTTAGCATGATACCTCCAATTTTGTTCTTCTTTCTCAGTATTTCTGTGGCTATTTGGGGTCTTTTATGGCTTCAGATAAGTTTTTGGATTATTTATTCTAGCGCTGCAAAAAACATCTGGTATTTTGACAGGAATTGCATTGAATCTATAGATTGCTTTGGGAAAAATGGACATTTTAACAATATTAATTCTTTCTATTATATCATAGCTTATTTTCAATTCCTGCATATTTATCCATGTTATAATTTCAAAATAATAAATTATTTGAATGGATTACATTTGCATGGGCATGTATGTATCTGATGAAACCTTGAAAAGAATATTAATTCTGCTCCATTCATTCCTGTCTTCATGTTTCTATTTAAGCTTTTTCAAAACAGTGAGAAATTGGCTAGACAGAAGAGCAAACTATCAAATGAAATATAGCTTTTTACCTGAAGAGTTTAGAGATTAGTGGTGACATCTTAAAATTATGTTTTAATTACATTTACTCTTCAGTTTTCAGAGGTTTTTGTTAACAAAAAGTTAATGCTGTACACATCATTTTTAGTATGTAAACAATTTTCCTTAAATTATCTGGGTGTTATTTCTGACACTGTTTCATTAAACCTTGCTTGTGGCTCTTCAGTTTGGTCCACAACTTTATTTTCACATGGGATCAAAAAAATCAGATATTTACATTTGACTTATTTTTCTGCTAGTCATGCACTCAGTAATCAATATAGACACTATAGACAATGCTCCATCATTTTCAGGACTGATAACAGCAATAAGGTGCTTTCCTTTGTTTGTTTGTTTTTACCATATTTGATCACTTTGAAAAATTTTCCCTAGAGTTTTCTCTTTGATAAATTTGATATCAAAGAAGCATTTGGATGTCTATGCTCAAGGAGTTATTAACAGAAGTGATACAGATAGAGAGTATGGCAAAGATACAAAAGTCTTTGTCATAAAAATATTTAGGTCTCTTGTCCTCAGACTGTTCCTACAGTAATATCTGTTTTTGTTTGTTGGTTTGTTTTTAATTCTCCAGGCAGGAGTCCCAAAGTCCAAATATCCAATCTTCCCAGAGAGTGTATCCGACATTTTTTTCCAAAAAGGAAGTGTTTTGTCTTTGACCGACCAACAACTGACAAAGATCTCCTAGCCCATATTGAGACGGTTGCAAAACACCAAATGGATCCTAAATTCCTGGAACAAACAAAGATGTTCTGTTCTTACATCTTCACCCAGGCGAGGACTAAGACCCTCAGAGAGGGAATCCCTGTCACTGGGAAACGTGAGTCTCCATTTCACATTCTGTGGGGCCTAACATTTGTTGAACATATTACATGATGTGTTCTCAAGGATTTCTGTTTGAGTCTATGTAGAATTATGGGTCTACAGATATTCATACTCCATGAAGATAAGTATATGCTATCACACTTTAGGAGTTTATAAATTCCTCTCCAAAAGTACAACCTTCATCAGTAAAATCTGCAGCATCCATACATATAAAAAAATTTACGGGGAGTAAATCACTAACCAGGTCTAAAAACAGAATATGCTATTTCTTCAAAGTCAGTCCTTTATAATGAATGTGACTTTCAAGAAGAATACAAAGCATATTTTGGGAGTTTAGAGCAAGTTAATAATGAATATTAGCCTATAAAGCTCTGAAAATTTCCTGGAAGCTTCAGAATTAGGAATAAATATAATCATATTTACCCTGCCTATTCTCTCTACCTATGTAAACAATTTGCTTCTAATAGGTTTAATTGCAAATTATGTTTTGTAGATATCCGTTAGTATGTTAGATAAATGTAGACATTGAATTTTTTTAGCCTTGTGGTCTGAAGAATCATAAAAATTGAGTCAATGGGACATGTGTTACCAGAGGAAATATGTTCTTCTGCAGTGTCCTGTGAAAGAATTTCAGGGACCCTCATGTAGGAGGAGTTTTAGGTGATAGTGACAAGGTTTATTAAAGCTAAAAGTGACAGTACACCCTCAGGGAGACAGAGAGCAGGCAGGCTAGAGGGCATTGACTTCCTTATATATCCTTGTGTTTGGAAAAGAGCAGGCTTTCTTTCAAACTATCCACTCTCCTTTTGTCTTTTAGGGGCGTGTGCCCTTCCCCTATTTAATCTTTTCCCAGGCTTGTGCCTTTCTGCTTTCATGGTTGCTATTTTGGTTCCTACTGCGCATGCCTCATAGTTCCTCTTCATCATCTGGCTTCTACTGCTCATGTACTTAGTAAAGGAATTCCCTCTGCACCATTTTCTCCCAGCAGCATCAGTTGGGTAGACTCCCTAGGGAGACTGAAGAGCTTTTTTTCCCCTACTTAATGAGACTTAATCAGATGTTGGATTCAATTCCCTCCCTCCTTTCTTGTTATTATCTAACTAACTGCATGCTCTAACAATAGTAGAAGGAAGTAGTTTGTGTGTGTGTGTGTGTGTGTGTGTGTGTGTGTGTGGAAGAGAGAGAGAGAGAGAGATTGAAAATTGTAGTCTCAGAATTTTGGATCCCATTGGGTGATAATTTGATATTTATCCCTTTCCTGGCTTATTAGGGCTGAGGACTCTAGTGGTGACTTATGTGGACACCATCAAGAGTGGGGCTGTGCCTTGTTTGGAGAACGCAGTGACAGCTCTGGCTGAGCTTGAGAACTCAGCAGCCGTGCAGAAGGCGGCCGATCACTACACTGAGCAGATGGCCCAGCGAGTGAGCTTCCCCACAGACTCACTCCAGGAGCTGCTGGACCTGCATGCAGCCTGCGAGAGAGAAGCCATTGCCATCTTCATGCAGAACTCCTTCAAGGATGACAACCAGATGTTCCAGAAGAATCTTGTGGTACTTTGTCTTAGTACTTATTTACCCTTTGTGACCCTTCCCTTGAAGAATGAAGCCTAGACAAGCATTTTTGACCCAATGACTCCTTTCACTCATGGATCAGTAGTTTGCATTCTTATGAAGCATAAAGTTTTAAAAGACTGATTTTTTTCCCTCCCCTCCTAAACCTCAGCTACTTTATCCAAACATTTTTTTAAAAATTTGTGATGCATAATCAGTATAGATATATTTCTGAAGTGAATACTTCTATTGAATTCAAGCCATCCTAGATCACCCTAATGTTGTTTCTGGGGTAGTCACTTTTTTTGAGAACTCTCCCATTTCCAGCAAATCAATTTCTCTTAGCCAGACCCTCATTCCAGGCTATTTTGAACTCTTATGGCTCCTTGTTGAATCATTGTGTCATTGAAGGTAGAATAACTGAAAATCACAGCTGCAAAAAACCATAGAGATAAAGTCATGCAACCACCATATTTTTGATAAAGAAGCTGAGACACAGTGGGGTTAGAAGCTTTCCCCTGCCTTACATGGAATTTTCAGGGTTGTGCGTAAATCAAGTCTCGTAATTCCTCTTTCATTCCATGTCCTTCTCCAACAGAATGCTTTCTCATGAGGACCAGAGTTAGCCTTCCTTTGACCCAATTCTTGGAAGTTTTATCCCCTCTGTTTCTCCTGGTGATATTTCTTTGTACTTCCTTTGCAGGAAATCATACAGGGTGAGAAGGATGGGTTCTTGAAGCAGAATGAAGAGGCATCTGTTAAATACTGCCAGGCTAAACTGGATCAGCTTTCAGTGGCCCTACAGGAAGGTATTTCAGCAGGAATGTTCTCTGTTCCTGGTGGGCATAAGCTCTACATGGAAACAAAGAAAAAGATTGAAGAGGACTACTTCCAAGTGCCCAGGAAAGGAGTGAAGGTGAGGAATGAGGGGAGCATGGGGATCCTACAGATGAAAGTCAAGAGGGGCCCCTGAACATCTGAGAGCACAGCACCAGTTGTGGGTAATATGAGAGCATGGGGATATTATGGCTGTTTAAATGTTTGAGGCCCATTATTTGATCTTTCTTCCTGAAGAAAGTAAAAATATTCATTCTCAAAAATTAATATGGATTTCTGAAATCTGTAAGTGAAAGAAGAGAAATAATTTTTCCATCCAACAATATGAAGGTCAGCATGCCAAAGGCAGACAATATACAAGTTAAGGTCAGAGTCTTTGTGTTCAAGGCTGATCAAAAGAGAAAAGGAAGTCAAACCCTTAGACAATTGCACAGAGGGTAAGAATACTTATAAACCTGAAAAAAATGGCTGCCTAGGTGGTGATGACACCTAGGCACCTATTTTAATAACATTAAAATAATAATGATTATAGTGCAACTAATATATATCAAACTGTTATTGTTAAGGCATAATATTAAGCTTTTTCGCTAGGCTTTTAACTTAGTCCTTCAAGTAGCATTTAGAAGCATCTACACTTTTGTCAACATTTTGCACATGTGAACTGAGAGGTGGAGGTGGGTTACAATGACTTGCCTAGAGTTACAGCCAGCAGGTGGCAGAGGAGAGCAGCAGCTCTAACTGGAGACATTTCACCCTGCTAATATAAAAAATTAGCAGAGGCTGTGGGTTTGTGGAATTGAACATGGTTCTCACTGGCTGGGCTCTAGAGTGGGCAGAAGGAAGTAGTACTGGGAGAGAGATGGAGAAAGACAGCAGGCAGGGGGTGCCATCTCTCTTGGCCTGCCTGGGGTCGTGCAATGCAGTGAACTACAAGCATATGCTTGTATGAGTGAAGGGGGAGCATCGCAAGAGAGAAAATGCTCCAAATCTCTGGATGCAGCCCAATTTATTTGCAGGGTGGTTCCCCAGGTTACATGTTGATTTAGGTAATTATTTTCTTAAGATGGCTCTCTGCTGACCATATAGCCAAGCCCTGTCTTTCACTTTTTACAGTGAAGAAATATCAAAGGATATAAAAAATAACAATTCCATTCTCGCCTGGGCTTCAATGCCCATTACTCTTTTGGAGGTCGGTTTCCAACCCTTTGACATTCAAACCTTATCTAGTCACATGCAAACAAAACATTCAGTTCCAAAAGGGGTGGTCTTCCTGCCCTCCAGCCAAACCTATCTGTCCACACACCGCTTTGAGCCTAGGCTGGCCAGGTCCCGAGTATGCATATCACAAGGTTACATTTGTTCATCCACCAAACCCCAATCCCTACATCTCTCCCCTTTTTGTTTTCTTGTAATTGAGGACACACCATGGCTGCAGTGGTCAGAAGTGTCATCACTTGCTTTTCAGTTTTCTGCATAGAGGACACCATTCGGTAGAGTCCCCGGAGTACTATGAGGCTAACACAAACAAGAAAACAACTAATAGCAGTAAAAATCCAGATTCTAAGATTGAAACTGTCAGACCAATGTTTTGGATTGAGCCATTGGACATTATCTGAGATTGCCTTTAAAACGTTTTATTGATCAAGTTGTTGTATATCTGCTGTGTTTCCAGAGCCTTTTTTATTTTTTTATTTTTTTATTTTTTTATCCTCACCCGAGGACATTTTTCCATTTTTTGTTCAGGTAGAGTGGGAGGGAGAGAGAGGAACAGAGAGAGAGAGAGAAACATCGATGTGAAAGGAACACATCGAGTGGCTGCCACCCGCACAACCGACCAGGGCCGGGGACAAACTGCAACCGAGGTACGCGCCCTTAGCGGGAACCGAACCCGGGTCTCTCAAGACCGCAGGCCGACGCTCTAACCGCTGAGCCAAACCGGCCAGGGCCAGAGCCTTTTTTAGATTAGCTACTTGCCCTCCAAGGTTGCCAGCAGAAGTTCCTTGCAAGTGTTGCTTGACTACTGTTCAATTGTGGGAGGTGGCATTCCAAGGCAATGCAGTTACACACATACTATGACTAAATTCCCAATAACAGTGTAACGTAGAGCGAGTGGCTAAGGCCTTTTCACATTCTCCCAGCCATAGTACAGCTGCCTCTGAGTCATTTAATTGGGTCAGAATTTCTTGATCAAGTTCCATCTGGGAAGTCATATCTTTGTAACATTGGTCATTACTTCAGCCACTGTATGTGCTGTTTGTACTGATTCTGTCAAGGCAGTAACTGAAACTGCTCAGTAGCAGCAATGACTATAGTTGAAATGACGAACGCTATTAGCCACCCAATAAACCTCCTTTTATGGGGGGGTCCAAATGCTTTGGCTAATTGTGCTAGGCCAGATTCACCTTCCTATGGTCAAGTAAGGTTTACTGATATCCATACTTCTGCTCTACAGCACATGGGAATAATGCTAGTGATATTAAACACAGTAATATTTTCATGAGTAATGTAGCTTAGATAGTAAGGTTGACTAACAGAAATGTTAAATATATTATTACTTTCAGAGATAGTTAAAAAAGAAGCAGCCAAGAACATATATTGGTGAGAGGTGCAAAACATTACCAAATCAGTATGATTGGCAGTCAATGTCATAATAAAATTGTTACAATGGGTATAATTTCCATGAGATATATATCTTATAAAGGAAAGCAAACCCAGTCTCCAAATTCCTGTGTGCCAGGGTCCAGTATGATTTTTATAGCTAGCCCTAGAACTCTTGAGAGACCTCCATTGGTCTATGAAATTGAGACTCTGGAGGATGTGAAAAAGTTTAACTCATGATGATTACTGGACAAACATTCTTGAGGACCCCAATTCTCAATATTAAGACTCAAATTAGGGCTAGCTGTGGATCATCCTGTGAAGGGCAAGGCTTCCAATAAGGGGCCAGGGACTCAAGGTTGGTTCCTTGAAATGTAGCGCAGGTGGGGATAGACACAAGGGGTTTGGAATTTTGAGAGACATTCTGTGCTTTAACCTCAACGTCTGTGATAAAGGTAAAGTTAGCAGTCTGGCCTGCTGTGGCCAGCTTATAGTACAAATGCCATTGTAATTGTATGGGAACACAACCAGGGGTTTCATGGATGGACAAACAAATGGGTGGTTGCTTCGATAAAAATAAAACAGTGGCATTGGCCTGGAACCAATCTTCATTCTCTTGTAGTGGCCCATCTGGGGGAAGCCAAGTTCCTCCTGTCCAGCAAGTGTCATTGCTAGATAAGGAGGCCTCTGAATCCCACCAAGTGACAGGGCAGAATAAAGGGGGGTCCATAATATGAGTACAATATGAGTGTTGTTCTACTGCTGCAGGGCTCAATAATGTAAGCAAGCAGCATAAAATACCTACCTTAGATTGTGTGGAGATTACAGATAAGTAAGCCAAAAAAGTGTTCTCTGGGGTAAGAGAAGCCCTCACTCTAGTTAGTATTTCCTCAGAACATTGTTGCAACTGCTTAAGGCTTCCATAGGTAACCCCAGGAAGGGTTTGAGAGGGGCCCCAAGACCCAGTGTCAGTTTTACGATTAGTGTCCAAGGTCAGCTCTGCCATCTGATGAATTGAGTTGAAAGGTAGGTTTTTCCTGTTCATGGTAAGGACTTTTCCATTGAGCCGCCAGCCACTTGGGACCTGTAGGAGACAAAACACAAGCATACCCATGCCCTCAAGCCAATAACTCTGCAGGACTTTGCCATTCAGGCCCTTGCTGTGATTCTCTGTACTGGACTAAAGGTTTGGGTCTTGTGGCAGAAACTTTTTGTTAAAATGTCGCACAGCAGCACTAGTGCCAAAGTGACCTCAATTTAAAAAATTAAGGATATAGATTGCCAGAGAAAGTTGATTTACAAAGGGTTCACCCATACTTCCCCTTTTTTTGTTTTGTAATTAATAATTTTAAGTAGCATGAACACGTTCAACAATAGCTTGTCCTGTAGGGTTATAGGAGATGCCAGTTTTATGTCTAATGCTCCAATGTTGGAGAAATAATTTAATGCTTTGAGATGTATAGACTGGCCCCTTATCTCTTTTAATGTCCAGTGGCATCCCTATATGTGTAAAACAGGACAGCCAGTGACACTTAATGTCTTTGGCTTTTTCCCCGGTAGTGGCGGTTGCATATAGAACATTGGAATGAGTATCTATTGTAACATGTACCCGCTGAAATCAACCAAATAATGGAATATGTGTTACATCTGTTTGCCATAAGGCATTAGGGGTTAAACCCCAAGGATTGACTCCTGATGATGTTGGAGTCCCTCCCGAAAGTTGCCAATCTGGGCAAGCCTTAATAATATCTTGAGCTTGTGAGAGGGCCAAATGAAAGGTTTTCATGAGTGCTCGAGCGAATAATTTGGTGAAAAAAGGCATGTGAACACTGCACCTGCTTCAATGCCAGAGTTGCCATTGCTACGATGGCTTCGGCCTGTTGATTTCCTTGGGTTAAAGGTCAGGGGAGAGTGGAATGAGATCAAATGTAGGTTATAAAAATAGGACGATGACATTGGTCTGTTAAAGTTTGGAGAGATAAGAATAAGGTTAATAGATGTTGTTCAGGTAACGGCTTAAGAAAGGCTTGTTCTATTCTTTGTAACACTTTAACTACATATTGTGAATCACTAATTATATTTAAGGGCTCTTCTGTAAATTACTGAAGAGCTAATACTGCAGCCCATAATTCAGCAGGCTGAGTTGACCCAGGCTCAAGGAATATTTTTCCATTCCTCATTTTCTTTCCAGGCTACACCTGCTTTGTGAGATTTACCTGATCCATCAATGAACACAGTTCTAGCCCCAGGTAATGGGGTATTACTGATTTTTTTGCACCAAGTTAAGGTGTAATTGAGGAACACTTTGTAAGAATTTTTTTTTTTTTTTTGCTGGAAGAGAGTAATTAATTTCCCCAATAAAATCTGCTAGAGCTATTTGAAAGTCTATTGTCTGGGAAATCAAAGTGGTAAATTGTTTCTGAGTAAGAGACAAATGTAGAATCTGAGGGTCATATCCTGTCAGCTCTTGTGTTCTTTTTCTGCCTTTGACTATTAGATCTGCTAACTGTTTGACAAATGGAGTTATTGCTTTAGATGGGGTAGTTGGGAGAACGATCTATTCAAGATATTTTACTTCAGGTGTTAATTGTCCTATTAATGCTGTAGCGTATGGCACAGTTGGATATACAAATAGCCAAATAGGGTTCTTTAATGACCAACGATGAGCTTGTCGGGTTTGTATTTGAGTAGTTATTACATTAAGTTCCTGCTGTGCCTCTATAGATGGAGTGCTAGGTGAATTTAGTGCTGGATCACCTTTGAGAGTATTAAATAAATAAGTTAATTGTTGAGTAGTGATATCAAACATAGGTTGAAGTCAATTGATGGTTCCCAGTACTTTTTGTAATTCATTTAAAGTTGTCACTTTTACTGGAATGGTAAGTTTCTGGGGGCAAATAGTTCTTGTTCCTAATATTCACCCTAAGTATTGCCAAGGTTCCAGTTGCTGTACCTTGTCTGGAGCAATTTGTAATCCTGCCTCCTTTAGAGTCTCCTGAGGCATTACATAGGCCTGATTCAATTCTTTTGGGGTAGAGGCAGCTAACAAAAAATCATCCATATAATGGTATAGATAAATGGCAGGAAATAGTTTCCTTACTGGATCAATAGCATGCTGGACATAGTATTGACAAATTGTTGGACTATTTATCATTTCTTGGGGTAGTACCTTCCATTGAAATCGTTGCATTGGTTTACTATATTGTTAATGGAGGGAACAGAAAAAGTGAATTTCTCTCTTTCTGTAAGGACCTAAGGGATAGTGAAAAACCAATCCTTAAGGTCTGTAACAATTACGTGCCAGTTTTCAGGAATCATTGTAGGACTGGGGAGCCCAGGTTATAGTGCTCCCATGGGTTCCATAATAGCATTGATTGCTCTCAAATCATGTAGTAATATCCATTTACACCTTTTTTAGAAATAACAAAAATGGGAGTGTTCCAGGGACTGACTGAGGTTCTATGTGACCTGCTTCTAATTGTTCTTTCACTAATTTGTTTGCTTGTAATAATTTTTCACCTTTCAAGGGCCACTGATCAACCCATTCCAGCTCAGCTGTTTTCCAGTCCAGTGAAAGGAGGGGAATTTTACCAGTGACCCCAAGCCAAAAGGCTGGGTTTGAAAAATTATTCCCCATTGAGAGAGAAGATCCCTTCCCCACAAATTTAGGGGAGACTTCATGACAATAAGGTTGAATCCATCCTTTTGTCTATTTGGACCTACATAGGAAAGGGAGTGAGTACTTCATGGAGGAGCTTGAGTTCCTCCCACACTTGTTACCAGCAGGGGTACTGGGGCTTTTGGCCATTTCTTAGGCCATTCCCTAGTTGTTATAATAGAAATGTCTGCCCCTGTGTCCACTAATCCTAAAAATAGTTGCCCTTGCATATTAATGGAGAGCAAGGGCTTTTTGGTGTTAATAGCAGCCGTCCAGGAAACATCACACTGACCAGTGCTCCCAAACCCTGCATTCCCTTGTACTGTGGAGGTGGCTTCAGGGACCAGTATGTTAACAAAAGGAGTTGAGCTATTCGGGTTCCGGTGTTAACACATAAAAGCCCACTGTCTTAAGCGTTATCTTAATTTCTCCTTCAAAATCTGAGTCAATTACCCCTGGTATCACTTGTATTTTCTTTATTGTTGAACTAGATATTCCAATCACTAAACCTACCTTTTCCCAAAATCTGAGTCAATTACCCCTGGCATCACTTGTATTCCTTTACTGTTGAACTAGATATTCCAATCACTAAACCTACCTTTCCCTCTGGCAAGGAGCCATAAACTGCTGTAGGAGCGAAATATATAACATAAGACGCCCTAAGGGTTAATTGTGTGGTGGTGATAATATCCAGGCCACCCATCCTGCTGTGGAGGCTCCGAGGTCTCCAACCTTACTCTTGATTGACTGAGAAAAGCCTGAGGCTAAGGGACCCAGGGAGCTGTCTGGGCACAAGATCTTGTGCCCCTCCTCCCATTTCCTGACAGGGATCTCCACTTTTGTCAAATTTAGACTTACACTGATTGGCCCAATGTAGCCCTTTGCCACATGGAGGACAAGGCTTAGTAGGAATGCTACTGTTTCCGACATTTCCTTGTTTTACATTCCTTCTGAAAATGTCCTGGATTGCCATAATTAAAACATAATTTGGACCCTTGTTGTCCTTGATTGAATTTTTTAATTTGCAACATCCCAAGAGCTGCAGCTAATGCTCTGGACCGATGCGTTTCTGTCCCTACATTTTGACATGCTTTTATATATTCCCCAATCTTTGAGGGTTTTTCCTTCAAAGGAGCGAGTACAGCCTGACAATGCATTAGCATTCTTTAACTGTAATAATATATATCAACTGCTTCTGCATTATCTACCTGTCTACTTACTGCTGCTTGCAACCCATTAATGAATGACACATAAGATACCTGTGCTTCTTGCCTAACTGTAGCAAAAAAGCCTGTGCTTCCTCCAGACTCCGGAACTCTTTGCCAAGCTTTAGTAGCTAAATCTGAGGCCTGACGAAACAATCTAGCATCTTGCCTTACCTGTACTCGGAGATCTAAATAGTTTCCTTTCCTAGTAACTATAAGAACGAGATGCAGCTGAGTTACCAGGAAGTGCAGGTTTATTGAGGGAAATACCTGCCGGGCTGTCTCCAAGTAGAGCTCAGCTGTCGGTTTGTACAGACTAAGGGATTTTAAACTTAGGGCTGGGCTGGGTGGTTGCCCACCGAGGAGTTGTGGTCCTCCTTGATTGGTTGGGGCTGGGGTCTTTCCGACAATTGTTCTTCTCATCAAGCTGCTGTTTAGGTTTGGGGTGGGGGTATCAGGATATTGGTCCACCTGGCCAGAGCGATAAGCTTTGGTTTCCTGGAATAAGGGGCTTGGGGCGAGGTTAAACAATAAGAGGCTGGGGGCAGTAATATGGAAGTTAAAGTTAACAGTAACATGTCTTGCCCAATAGGAATCCCTGTTACAAGATTTTCATTGCCTGCTGTGTGGCGCCCTCCTTATATTCAAACTTCCACATGTTTTTATGAGCGCCATCCAATCCCAGGGAGTCATCTGATAGCTACCAGCTATTCCCTCTAACATTCCTATAGTAAAGGAACTCTGCAAACCATTTTCCATTATGCTTTGCCTGAATTCTTAAAAAACCTGATAGGGCAAACATTCATATACAGGTTGTTGACATGGCCATGTTATAGCTATGAAAGCTCCAAAGTCTCCGGCTTCCCTGGCCTCTTCAAGACAGCCCTCCATTGCTGGGTGTGGAGAGGCTGAGAAATCTACAAAAGGTGGAGGAGGGGGAGGAGAATTTTTCTCCTTTGCTGATGATGTGGGGGCAGTCGGTTCCGGAGTCTCCTCCTAAGGGGAGATTGGAGCCACTGCACTGGGACTGATTTCCTTAGTCAGCAGCTGCAATGTTGTAAATTCGTCACCTAAAAGAAGGGTCGAGGTGGGAAGATTACACCCTAAATCCTTGTGCACCCTAAAAATTCACCCTACCTTGAACCACAGGTAAGAATCCAACGTACCCTCCATAGGGAACCCTGGGCAGTTCCCCTGCATGTCCCTTCGAAGCTGCAGGAGCTTCCACTCTGATATGGAGCAGTGAGCTGCTTTCAGCAGCTGTCCTGAGACTTGCACCTAAAGTCCCTGATCTTTAGAAAATCTCAACCCCCTGCTGTCTTACTGGGGGGGGAGGGGACCCCTCAGGACACTTCAATGCCCATTATCCTCTCCGGGTGGTCTTCCAACCCTTTGACATGCAAACCTTATCTATTCACATGCAAACAAAACATTCAGTTCCAAACAGGGCAGTCTTCCTGCCCTCCAGGCAAACCTATCTGTCCACACACACACTCTGATCCTAAGCAGGTCAGGTTGCAAGAATGCATATCACAAGGTTACATTTTGTTCATCCACCAAAATCCCATTTCTGCAAGGGGGTACACAGAGCCTCTGGTCACCCTAGGTAGCTTGGGCACTGTGTGTGGAGCAATGATAGAGTTTTAATTGTGCAGAAAAAAATCTTATCTATTGTTTTTGTAGCACTATTCTTCCAGTGGACATTGAAGTTCTTTGTTCTTCTTGTTTCCTCAGGCCAATGAGGTCCTCCAGAGCTTCCTGCAGTCTCAGGCACCAATAGAGAAATCCATCCTGCAGGCAGACAAAGCGCTCACGGACCAGGAGAAGGCCATGGCAGGTATGGGTCAGGGCTACGCTCACAATGGACAGCGGGTGTGAGAACAAACCCTTCCTGAAACAAGGAACTTTTTCTTCTTCTGTGGGACATACTCTGCTAAATCTGTAAACAATCAGGGTGCATCTAGCAGTCAGGGTGTGGACAAGGGGGGGATTCTGAGTCTTCCTACTTCCACATCCAGTCTGGTTTAGTGTCTGAGCTCAGGATGGTAGAGACTAGTCCTCACTTGATTTCCTTCCCTCTCTCAAACCTCCCTGGGGCAGAGGAGCGGGCCAGGAAGGAGGCAGCTGAGAAGGAACAGGAGCTGATGAGACAGAAACTGCAGGAGCAGCAGCAGCAGATGGAGGCGCAGAAGAGGAGTCTTGAGGAAAATATGCTTCAACTGCAGGAGAAGCTGGAGAGAGACAGAGAGAACTATATAAAAGAGCAGAATATGATGTTGCAGCATAAACTGAAGGTAAGTCTGGCCATGGCCTTGGTCTTGGAAGGAAGCACCATTGCCATTTACTGCTTCTGTTTTATTAAAATTTTCAGTCTTCTCCTTCTTTGTAAAAATGTTTTTGAAATCGATTCTGTACATACATTCTGGAGTGGTCAGGAAAAGCATCTCAACTCTGAATACTTGGAGAATATAAATAGGGTTTAAAGTGTTATTCTGGGGTATTTAAAAATGATCTTCTGTGGCCTGGTTAAACAGCTATTTGAAACACATGTAATATTATGTGCCATACCACCTGGTATGCTGTACCCAGATCACTGCCTATTGGCAGGAACCCTACGACCACCCAGAGGCCCTGAGGTACATCTGTGCTGACAGTAAACCATCAGAAATGTCCAGACTTCAAAATGCATGGAAACGACATCTGTTACATTTTCTTCATTGCTCCCGGGCATGGATAGGCTACCCACGTTATCTTGTGGCAAAGGAAGGATTCCCGATCGGCCATCTGTACACGTTAATGAGAGAGGTCTAGAACAATGTATAAGTTCCCATTATTTGTACATTTTGGTTGACCACATTATTCCAAGGGGGACTCATAGTTAGTGCCAGCAGACCAAGTACCTCTCAACAGGTATCATGAGTGAACATATTACATTTTTCCCCAGGCCAGGTTTCCCATCCTAGCAAAACCTGTTGGTGTGTGAATATTTGTAGGACGGTACACTCTGCTTTTTTTCAGTGTTTACATCCAGGACAGAATATATTCCTTGTTGCAAAATTTCCCTTGATTGGATAAGAGAGAACAATTTTAAGAGTGAAAGAAAAGAGTTCAAGTATTTATGTTCTTAAATACACAATGTACATCTTGAAAAAAATGAGAATTTAAAATGTTTTACTTCACTCCTCATTTTTTTTAAGGTTCAAGAAGATATGCTTAAAGATGGATTTACAAAACAAGCTGAAGCACTGAATAATGAAATCAGTCACTTGAAAAATATGATTTCTACCACTGAAAACAATAAAGCCTCCTGGTTTGAAAGAATCCTAGAGCCAGCTGTCACCACGATCACTTCAGCACTGTGTGATAGACTTGTTGGTGGTATTGTGAAAGGCGTTGGCACCCTGTTTAAGAAGAAAAGTCTTCCTTTAAAGAAATTATAGAATGTGGATACATGCTCTGGCTTGCTTAGGGGTGTATATTCTTTTCAATTTTATTTACATAAGTTTTAAACATAGTAAATGCCTACTAAAATATATCAATGCCTAGCCCACGTCACATAAAATAAATGCATGTACGCTTTGTTATAGCATGTTTACTTTAGGAAATATACATGTTAAAATAAATATACTTATAAAAATCCATTGAGTTATCACTTTAAATGACAAAAGATTGAAAATTACATATATATTTACCTACATAAATTGGTAATATAAATTCAACATATGCATATACTGGAATACTATGCAGCCAGTAATTACATGGAAAGTTCAGCTCTATTTTTATCAATATACAACAATTGAAAAGTGAAAAAATGAGTACACAAGTTTGCATAATGTGTTTACTAGAAAAAATGTAATTATTGTGTGCAATCATACATATGTACACATTGCATATCTATGGGAGCCCTTAAAGAAGCTTCTAATGTCAGTTCCTACTCAGAAGTAGTGGGTGGGATCAGGGTAAATAAGTCACAAGCTTTTCATTATATACTCTTTCTTTTGAACTCTGTAAAGAAAGCGTGTATTACCATTTCATAAATAAATAACAAAGGAAATGTAAAGTGTAATACTACTACTAGTAGTAGTAATGAGAAGAATATAAAAAATGGCTATTTGTGTGGAACAAAACAAGCTGTTGACCAAAATATATCCAGAATCATGCAAGTAGGGAACAGACTGAGAAACTTCAGAGGAATGGGGATTGGGAGTTGGGAAGTGATAAACCAAACAACTTACATGCATATGTGAACAACCAATAGACATAGACATTAGGCTAGGGAAGGCACGAAGGTGGCGGGTGTGGGTAGGAGGGAGTCAATAGGGAAAAAGAGGATATCTGTAATAATTCCAAAAATTAAAAATACAAATAAAAATAAGGCTATTAGATGATGGAAGTTCTCACTCCTTCTAGAAATGACAGCAGCCGGCACAATTAGGAGACAGAGATTAAGTCAAAGTGTAGAAACTACACAATTGGTATCCTAATCTTGTTTTCATTTAGGCCTTATTTTTGATCCCTCATATTTGCTTCAAAACTAAGATATACACTTTCCTGTAGGTCTTTGACATCTCAGCTAGAGTAGCTTCTACTTCCTATCTCTAAATTATACTTTTATGGTATTAGAAGCAAATCACCAAAAGTAAGAATGTGCACTGGTGAGAGGGATGCTGTCATTTTGAAAAGTGCAGTGGTGGCCTCCCTGCTATAGGCAAGAGCCAAAGGGACAGGTGCCATTGCAGTACTGGGAGCCTGATAGTGTTCGGGATGATAAACCTGGATGCATGGGGCCAGGTGTTGGCACTTAAATATCAGAAGCCAAGTACATACAATAATAGTAATCAGTATCATGGTATGTCTTAGCTCAGACTGCTATAAAAGTTATCATATATTGTGTGGCTTAGAAAGCACATCTTTATTTCTTCTAGTCCTGGAGGCTGTTATTTCGAAAGCAGTGTGCGAGCATTGGTGGGTTCTTGGTCAGAACTCTCTTCCTGATTTGCAGAAGGCTGCTTGCTTGCTGTGTCTCCACATGGCGGAAAGGGTGGGAGAGCTCTCATGATTTTTATTGTAGGGGTAGTCAAACCACAGTGCAATAGAGAAAGTGCAAGGCAGTGACATGTAATGGTCAACCTGGATGTATAGCAGAGAAACATAACCCTCAAAAATGGGTGCACAATTTATATTTGGAGCAGAGTTTTTCTCGAATAAATCTAGTCTAAAGAAGTTCTAAGTACTTTACTTTAGGAAGAAATAAAGATAGCCAAATATAAAGTCTGCAGAACAAAAGTGAATGAGGATCTAAACAGCAATGATATGTCAAATAATAAATATTGACTGCATGGAAAAAATCATAATAATGTACTCTGGGATTAAAAAAGAGAAGATAAACTTAACATAAAATAATTCAGGAGGAGTCTGGATATAGATCAAGTGTAATAAGGTCCTAGAATTGTTTTGAGGAAAGTAAGGTGAATAATTTTGAGTTTCATGATTTAAGTCTAAATAAAATCATTTATAATGTAATCAATTAAAGAACAAAGAAAGGTTTCCATTTTATTACTAGGAGACATAAAAATGATTTTCACACATCTCAGTAAGCAAAATAAATATAACAGACAAAAATCTATCAAGTAAAGTCAGAAAATATTTAACAACATGATGAACAAATTTAGCATAATGTGTTAATGTAGAACCCCACACCCAACAGCAGTAGAATACTTTTTTTTTTTGAAAGCACACTAAGAAACTTCAAATGAATTCTATCTGTTCCAAACCACAAAGCAGGATTAGTAATGTCTTAGGTCACATTCTCTAGAAGCAGAGACCTGGTGATGGGTTCCTGTGCTCATAATTTATGGAGGGAGTGCTTTCAATGGAAGGGGTCTGAAGGAAGCAGGAGAGGGCAAGAAAATAAGAATTAAAAGAGGCTGTGTTTGCAGGTTAAAAATAATGGCTTCAAGCTGATCCACTGGTATCTCTGTAGCACCAATAGCATGAGAGTCTGTCCTATGCTAGACATTTGTACCACATCAGGCATTCTGGGGCCATCCATCTTGGACAGAGCAGCTACCATGCTATTAAGGGAAATTCTCCAAAGTAGGGAACTATTGTAAGCTTTTTAGCGATGAACACTCACAGCAATGGAAGGATAGATGCAGTGCCTTGTAACAGTGATCTAACTGAGGTACTACCAGGAAACAGCACCAATATACAGATTAATATTTGCACACGTACCATGTGCCAAGGTCTATGTAAGCCACACTTACCACCCCTGGTGGGGTTCCTGCCATCCAGGCAATCAGTTATCTAGATCCTGAATCCATTTTCAGAAACGTATTTTTTAGACCTCTCTGGGTACAATCTATTGCTCATTGAATTCCCTAGAAAGCAATTTTGAGATGAAAATTTGTATGTAAAATGTTTATTAGGGAACACTCCTGGGATGAACAATTATGAAAGGATGTGGAAAGAACTAGGAAGAATGAGAAATTGATCTACAGTCTTAACAGTTGTTTCCCCATTCCAGTAGAGAACTATGGACGTTAGTAATCCTTTTCATTTTCCCCCCTGTTCTTTTAGAGATCAGCCATTGAATGATGAACACCCTAGGAAGGGTGAAGACTTTGGGCAAAGTGACTATGCAGAAAGGGGCTGAAAACTGAGTTACATGTGTTTGTAGGAGAAACTGTAGTTAAGAATCATGTACTCTAAGATGGTTTTCAGAGACATGGGACAAGTGAAACAATGGGAAGAACAATGGATATATACTTCATTGAGGGTCAAGAGCATTCATGTAGACCGAGAAGAGGAGCTCACAAAACAATAAAAATGACTGTGATTGAAAAAGAATTGAATTTACAATGGCAAGTTTCATAGGTGGAAATGTTACAGTTAATCCCAAAATTTGACCCTGTGTAGTTGTTAGGTTTCTGAAAAAAAACAAAAACAAAACAACAGAACCAATAGGATATGAGTATATATAGAAATAAATTTATTAAAAGGAATAGGCTTAAATAATTATGAAGGTTATCAAGTTCAAAATTTGCAAGATAGGCTAAGCAGGTGCAGGAAAACTGATATTCCAGTTCTCGTCTGAAGGCCGGGAAGAGCCAATGTTGCACATGAAGCTCTAAGTCTACTGGAGACTTTAGTATACAGGTACCTAATTATTTACAAAAAACTACATCCTTGTCACTCCCACCCAGATAAAAATATAAAGCATTACTTGAGTCCAAGTTTCTACTTCTGGTTACCCAAGACTAACTACTGCTCCAACTTCATTTTAATTATTTTTTATTTTATTGATTTTTAGAGAGAGAGGAAGAAAGAAGGAGCGAGAAACATCAATGAAAGAGCGAAACTTCAATCGGCTGCCCCCCACATACCCGACACCAGGCATCAAGCCTTCAACCCAGGCATGTGTCCCGACTGAAAATCACCCAGCAACCCCTTGGTGCATGGGACATACCCAATCGACTGAGACACACTGGCCAGGGCTCTACAACTTTGACTTCTATCACCAAGCAAAATTTAATCTGTTTCTGAACTTCATATATCAATTTAATATATTTTTTACTGACTTTGTTGCTCAATGCTTTGTTTGTGATGGTCATCCTTGTTGCATGCAGGTGGAATTCATTATTTTTCATGGCTCCACAAAACATTTCTCAACCTTAGCACTCTTGGCATTTTGGGCTGGAAAGTTCTTTTCTGTGGGAGCTGTCCTGGGCAGTGTAGGATGTTTAACAGCTGTTAGCAATAGCATCTGTTCTGCTAACCTACCCAGTTGCAATACCAAATAGGTTTCCAGACATTACTAAGTGTAACCTGAGGGCCGCATCAACACCTTTTGGGAGCTTTGAACAGGAATAATGAAAACCTCTATGTAATCATATCCCAACCTCATAACAGGTGTTCTGAGGTCTAAATAGACATAAGAGCTTAAACAAGTATGGAAGAAGGTGCCACTTAACAATGCCTAAGGAAGATGTCTTCTTTTACTCAAAATATGTTTAATTTTCCTGACTCTCTGAGAAGATAAAAGTAACATAATCCAACCCACCGACTCATTTATTTGTTGTTGTTCACGCTTTATCAATGAGTAAGAAAGTGTGTGCTACTTTATTAAAAATTTTCAATGGTTTATTTTTTACTTTTTTATTCAGAAGGATACTAAGTACATAATTGAATTCAGAATAAAATCTAAATTCTCAATATTAATACAAAACAAATTTAAGGAAAGTCTCTAAACTTCCTTGGTGTTGCATAGTACATTTATCACTAAGAGACAGTGCTTTCTTTAGAGTGACAGAAACATTAAAACAAACTTAACACAGTGGTGATTGTGATGATATGATAATGATGATGGTGATGATAATGACAACAATGATGACTGAGACAAATATAGCATTAACAAGAGCTCACCTTTACCAATTCATGTTTTGTGTATTGCTGATAAATTTTAATATTTTTTAAACAGTTACAATGCAGAGATCTGAAAAATGGCGGCAGAGTGAATGGAGCTACACAGACCATCTCCCAGGACCAAACTGGAATTACAACGAAAATAAA